TTATTTTAATATAAAAATAAAAATTATTTCTTATTAAAATCATAAATTTTTATATAGAGAGAAAATTTTAATTTTCATTATGTTTTATTAGTAAATTTAGCCCCTGAATTATTACTTTTGATCGTCACTATATAAATTTTTATTATAAATTATTTAGAGTTAAGAAATTATAAATTTTTTTTATTTAAATAATAATTTTTTATTATTTATTATCAAAATTAAAGATAATTAATTTATAAATTTAATTATTAAATATAATACTTTTTATATAATTATTAATAAAAACATATACTTATAATTTTATTATTTATTTATTTATTAAAAATACTTCTTATTTTATATTTTTAATAAATTATAAATAATATTATTTGAAAATAAATAAATAAATAAAATGAATAGAATTCATTATTTTTTATTATTTTTTTTATTTTAATAAAGACTATATAAAATAAAAGTTATTAAAATAAGAATTTATAATTTGAATAAAAAATAAATAAATTTTATAAAAATATTTTTAATATAAAATTTTATTTATTATAAATAAAAGATTTTGTTTATTATAAATATGTAATATATTATAAATAAAATTCACATATATATATATAGTTTTCTATAATTTTATATTGTGATAAAATTGATAAAATCTGATCATATTTATAATTAATTATAATAAGTCTATATCATATAATCTAAGATCTATTTAAATTTTTCTTTTTGTCTTATAAATTATAAATTATATTAATATTTCTAATTCTTTTTATTCCTAATAATAGTACATCTACCAAAAATTCTGATAATAATTTTATTTAAATCTCTCACTTTTTGCTATTATAAAAATAATTTATTAAGCTCTATATAATTTTAAATGGACTTAATAATGTAGTCATACAGAATTTTTTTTAATATGTTTTTTATAATAATTCGTGTTCTATTATAAGTAGTTGAATAATATGTTCATTAAATATTATGTATTTAATATAGCTTCTTCTTTATATATTAAATAAGACTACACGGTAGCATGTTTAAATAATTGTCCGGAAGTACTATATATTATTCTGCGAAACATTAATTGTCACGTGGAATTTCCGGTGTCATGCCACGTGACTGGTTCTAAATAAATAAACCAATTAAAAAAATTTATTATTTTGATATTTTTTCAGAATTAATATAAAAAATCATTTTAATATTATTTTCTAACAAATTATAAAAGATTTGAAAATTACTCTAACTACAAATATATATAACTCATGCATATGATATCATAATATTAGTAAAATTCGCTTAATAAATTTGATATTACAATATTATAACAAGTTTATTATATAAATCTTATTATAATATAATAATTTTAACTGTATAATTATTATTAATGTGACGAAAACATTTGAAGTACATGTACTAGATATTAACTGGATTAATAAAAAAATTAATTGTTAAATTCTTTCAAAATAGATACAGTGGTGAGTTTGTTTCCAATCTTGGGAATGCGATAAAGCGTTCGAGTCATATGACATCCATCCAATAGGGTGCGCAAATTTTTTGATCAACCCGACAACGCCCTCTATAATCTTACATCTTGTCTCTATCGCTATACTCCGAGTGACTAATCACATGCATGACTCGCAACGTTTTAACGCATCTCTAAAGATGATCAATTAGCGTGAAGTTGGGCATTTATTATTATTTATGTTAGTATTTCAAATCGTTATTATGTTTCAAAGAAATGTTGGAACACGAAGTTTTCGGCCAGAAATCCCAGTTTATTATGTAATTGGAAGAATCCAGAAATAAAAGCACATGACTAACCAGCTAACTAAGAGGCGGCTAATAATCAGTAATATCCCCATCAAAATGTACATATACAAAAGTGATAAGGGATCTTTGTCAAAGCCGAACATACTTGTTTGGTTGATATACCGCTATACCCTTACATTTTTTTTCTTTTTTCTTTTTTCTTTCCCACAGCCTCCGTTCCTCCCTTCTCGTTTAAAACATTCCTACATATTTATTTTTATTTCACGCAGAAACAAAACAAGACTTTAAAGTTTTCTTTTTACGAAAGTGACTTCATTATCTTTGTAATTCCTAATTTAATAATAACCTTTTTTTATTTTCTTTTTTGGTGAGTGAATATAATAAATAGAATATACGCGTGAATGTTTTTCATTTTAACAACAAAGATTTTATGAATTGAAAAAACACGTTTATTGACTATTTTCTGTTTGATTTTGGTCAACAACTGCTACTCCTTCCGTATATTGTTTAAACTAAATGACTAGAGCGAGTGAATAAGAAGGTTTACTGAGCGTTTCTTAGGGTAGAGTTTGTGTCTCTACGCACAAACACAAATATACGTGTTTCATATAAATAAAGAAGGGGGAATATTCTTATTACATCTGTAACCTGTCACATCTCGACAAAAACAACCATGGACATCAGTAACAATGATTCTCAAGAAACTAGCAATTACACAACAATCCTTGACCCGGACGAGTCGTTCATGGTGTCTTTCAAAGCTGCGGCAGCGGCAGTCACAGAACTGTATACAAAAGGAGCGAATCAAAGGCGTCAAGCTTTTCAAAATGGATATCAAAAGTGTTTGGAGGACTTGATGAACTTTGTTAATGCACATCAACAGCAGCAACAACAACAACAACAAAGATCGCAAGGAGATGGCGCAGGTGGTAACAATAGTATAATAATAACAAGCGTAGAACTGTGGAATTGGGCTCGCACAAAACACCATGAAATACAGAATTCAGTGCCTACTTCATCGGCGTCCACGCGTCACCAAGCACAACAACAATCACAACAAGCTCAATATAATCAACAAGCACCACCATCATCGTCATCAGAAGCACCTCAATCACAGCCGACGCAACAACAACAACAACAACAACCACCACCACCACCACCACCTTCTTCAAATGTTGTTACTCCTCTGTCTCAAGTCCAAACAGAGCTCTTTTGCAGTGAAAATGGTCAATTCACATTCTGCTTCCAGCCGAATGCTGCCATGATGTATAATCACCCGAATCAGCGTGAAATTGATAACATTGACACTGGTCAAGAAGGTGGAATCGGTACTCTGATGGGAAATGATAGTCTAAAACGTAGATTGAATGAACAGAATTTCATGGGACGCCCGATGACGGATCTTTCATTCTTTGAACACCCTTTACCGCCTGTCAAACGTGGAAGATTACGCAAAGAAGAGTAAATCACACTAATAAAAAACGAGTCAAGTTATCATAGTAAAATGTGTGGATTGTTATAATAAGCAAATTATAATTGGTCAATTGGATGTTTCTGTTTTTACCTTCCCCTTTTTTATCTATTATTTTACTTGCAGCATGTCACAAGTTCCATAATTATGACACTGATAAAATTAACTATAATTTTGAGAATAAAGACGATGATAAGAAGACAATGGCCGTCCTAATGGTGTTTGGCCACTTGTCATATAAGGTATTGGTTTATCTAGTTTGTTGCATAAATTTTATTAATTGAATAAAAGCATAAATATAATCGATTTATTTGATTCTTGTAGAATAAAGTAAATCTCTTTGAATCGCACTACCCAATCTGATGCAATAATAATGTCTGGCTGATTAGAGTGATTTAAAAAAAATGTGTTGATGTTGAAATTGAACACTTTAGTAATTATCAGTATATTGTTGTAGTCATAATAAATTTATATTTCTTTCGAGAGAGTGAAAAAAGGCCTTTGAGTTTGTAACCATTGGACTCGAGTCAACTTATTTGATTCAATATTTTTTTTAATTTGAAGAATATTCAAGTAAAATAAAGCTAATTCGAGTTTACTTAATTATATGATAAAGTAGGTTTAAGATAGACTTTTCTCAATCCAACAATACAATGGATTGTAGTTAAAATTGTTCTCTAAGAAATAATCCTATATTTTAAATCAAATACACGGTCGCAGGTTTCTTATATCGAGATTGACTGATAGTTTTATTGGCTGATTAAAAGAAAATCACATTATGAAATGCTATAATATAATCCTATTGTTACAAGAGTTTAGCAGTGAACATTAATATTTTGCTTAATGTATTCGTTATTAGGTTATGCTTTAAAGAATGAAAAAGAAATTTCATATTCAAAATGTGATAAACATCTTTTTTTAATAATCTAGTCAGATCTCTATAGTTATATCTCTTTATAATTATATTTTTTTACAGAGTTTTTTAGTTATTAATTAATTATAATTAAAAGAATCTTTATAGTATCATCTCTTTATAATTATTCAATTTTGCTTTCTCAAGTATAGTAATTATAAAGAGATTTAACTTTATTTTAATTATAATTTGAAAATATATAATTAATAATAAGTTTAATATATTGAATTTTATGAATTATATTTAAAAGAAATTTTTGTTATATTAAAAATTAAAAAAGTAAGTAATTTAATTAAGATAAACTTTTAATTGATTATTAATATTTTATTTTATTTTGAATAAAATAAAAAAGTATATATTAAATTTTATTTTTAATTTTATAATTATATAGACGAGTATAATAAGATTGATACTATTATAATATAGATTTTTATATATATTTTATTAATATTAATTATTTTATACCCACATTTTTATTGGATAATTATTTAGTTATATTTTATTGGATAATAATTAAGATAGTATTATTGGTAGATATTTTTAGA